AACACTGTCAGAAAACGTTCAGCAGCGCCAATTCTTACTAAACTGGGTGTGTTATAAATCCAGTGTAAGTAGGGGATTTCTTATGCCAACAATGCTTCTCAACCTTTACCTTATTACCACACTTCTTGGCTGCCCTGAGATAAAAATCTTTTAAGCTTTTCTTTTTTTTTTTTTTTTTTTTTTTTACTGCTCGTGTGTGAAATCTCCGATAACGGAGCCAAACGCGGGGAAAGTTCAGGGCCGTTTTACGAGTCTGTTTTATCAAAAATTTTGATCTACAAAGCCCTGAACACACAAATTCATGGCTGTGGGATGAGGTCAGTGAAACCACACCCATTCCCTCGACAGACCTTCCTTTCCCTTTAGTGGGCAGTTTTCCATGGGCTGCAGAAATATGCCCTGTTGGACGAGCAGCGCTTGCCCTTGGGCTGGATGTGATGCCAAGGAAATCAGGAATTCTCTACACATTGTGTGTGCTCAAGACACATTATCTGTGAGTTTTGGAGGTGAAGTCCCTCCCTAATGAAAGTCAGCTGAGCAGGAACAAGGCTGGAAACAGCAGCGGGAAGGCTGAGGGATAATGACAAGGCAGGTTTGGCACTGGGGCGGGGGGGGAATCCATGAAACAAAATAACCACAGTGAAGATTTCCAGAGGAAAAAAATGTTAGAGGGAAAGTGTGTGACACCAGGAACGGGGAGGAATGGCAAACACATGTCAAGCAGCACGTTTTATTTACTTTTCATTAGGATGTCTTCCTAGGAGAAGGTTAAATACTCCAGGAGAGGGATGGGATTTTCCTTATATTAACTAATCCAGACAAAAGTGAATGGAGATTTGCTTTCTTCAGCATTCATTGATATTAATTGCTTTATTGAACTAGCTGTGGGAACATGGATTTCCCAATGCCAGCATAAAGGATCATTATTTATAAGCTAACTGATCCCACAAATTCTACACTTAGCTCAACATTTCCTTTGGAAACGCTGAAAGAATCTTTAAAAAAAATCATTATATTTCATCCTTTACACTAAGGCACACCAACTAAATGCTACAGGTTTTCCAGGAAAAGAAAAACAAGTTTTTAAGGTTCACATAACAGACTCCAAATCAGCTCTGAAATGCTGCATATTATTACATTTTTCCTCCCATTAGTTTTCATTCTCTCCCTTTTCCCCCGACTTACAGGTGTCCTTAGTTACAGCCATCAGTAAAAACAAAACACATATGCAGGCTATAAATCTGTGTTTGTGTACTAATTCATAAGAGTAAAATATCTTCAGTTGCTCCTTCCAATTTCCTTTCCCTGCTCAAATCATAACTCTGCTTCGATATTTTCGGGCTTAAGCTTTCAGGAACTCGATTTTGTCCCAAAAGGTTGGTCACATGGAGACCTGCAAGTGTGGGTTCTGGCTTCAAGTGAATATATTTAGCAGGAGAGACTTCCAAGCACAATAAAAGTGACTAAATAAACACTGAAAACTTTAATCAAGGCACTCAGTCGTCCCTGTAACCCTTTGGAGATGGATATGGATGACTCAGCCCATCAGAGTTCGTGCAAAAATACACCACAGCAGTCAGTGACATCAAATTATGTTTCTTAGCACCAAGAAGTGAATAAATTTGAAGGAGAAACCAAGAATGAATGTCAAGTTTCTTTTGTTCTAATATATCCTAACAATGCTTATGGAATTGCTGCAGTTAAGCTCGACTTTGCTGTTCTAAGATCAATTTTGGGGCTTTATGTGCTGTTTTAAATCAAAGCCGAGCTAAACGTGGTATGCAAATTGCAAAGTCATAAATGTTTGTTTTACTTATGTTCCTTCCTCTTTATATCACAATCAGAATCCTTCACCCAAGCCCCCCAAAAGCAATCATTTTTGGCATAGTTTAGATGCCAGATATATAAGCTCCAAAGGAAGAACTGGGATCTATTTTACAGTTGCAATCATTCAGTCCAAGAAAGAAAAAACACTTTTAGTGGCCTGAAAAGAAGCAAAATATCCTCGGGGAAGACAAACTTGACTAGAAATATGTTATTGCACAGATTTAAGTTAAAGGAGATCCAAAGGTGAGAAAACTTTTTGGCTGGGGTGAGAAAAACTCCAGGATACTGAGCCTACACTTGAGGATCCTTGGCCAGGTGAGACACCTGTAGCTTTGCCTTATTCATGCAAAAAGAATTATTAAGAAGCGGGTATTTGACAGAGATATTGTTTATGATTTATGTAGGAAAAGCACCCTGTGGTTGTGTTGTTAGTCAAAGCCTGGACTTGATAAACCTTGGTTAAATAAATGCCACTGGCTGCTGCTTCAAAGCTCTTCAGGGAATAAAGTGAACAACATGTGAAGACAAACATGTCCATTCTTAACCAAAGTGTCCATTAAGTTTCTGGTGAAGAAACCAGTTGTAAGGATGGAATTTTCAAACTTTTCAATACTAAGGAGACCAAAAAAAACATCTCCAGAAGACAAGACTTGCGTACATATGACAACCAGGATTGTCATATTTGACATATTTGTCATATTTGTCATGTTGTGACACAAAATGTCCAGGACTTGAGGGGGAAAAAAGTGCTTGGAGGGCTTTGAGAGGGAAGAGCAAAGCAAAATACCCAGAAACTACCAGCATGCAAAGAGGAGACAGTAGGTATATGGACAATAAACTTAAATTTAGAAAGTCAACCAGTCATGTCTAATGACTGCTAGGGAGAGAACCTACAAAGAGAAATGGAAATAGGGTATTAAAAGGGGGCAAGTGTTAAATAAACATGAAAAACTATAATTAAGGGCAACAATTTGCTTACCCAATGCATAATAAGACAAAATAAGATATGGTTCTAAAATTTTATGTGAAAAAGATGTCTCATACCTCTCATTTTTGCACAGTCATTGAATGGTTTAGGTTACAAGGGGCCTTAAAGATCGTCTTGTTCCACCTCCTGCATGGGCAGGGACAACTTCCACTATCCCAGGTCGTTTCAAACCCCATCCAACCTGGCCTTGGACACTTCCAGGGATGGGACAAACAATAGTTCTTCTTAAAAATCCAAAATATGAAACAAGATTTCAAGTATTGCTATCAAAGCGTTTAATATTAAGCCACTGCCACGAAGGAAAGGAAGCACTTAGGAGGCTCCTCTGTGTTATTTCCAAGATTTTTTAGTTCTTTCCTGTGTTCCTGTAGCTGTTCCCTTTTGCAGAGTATTTCAGGGTTTCAGAATCCATTAAACTGAAAATATAATGAGTTTATGTTGCCAATACATGGCTTAGCATAGTATTATTTGTGTTTACTTACACGTGTGTACACACACACACTGTAAACTTGGAGAATGACCCATGGCCTACAGAGGTGGAACTGGTCACAATTTGTGTTCAATCAAAGTGTTCAAAGGAAACCCCAAAAAAATATCTTTAAATCTTTCACTTGAATTGGGCTGGCATGGAAAATCGTGTTCATATTGTACTCATTTGTGGTCTGCTGCTCAGGAATTTTAACTGATGACAATTCAAAGATAAATTTGCTTTAAAAATAAATGATGAAAAATAACTGGCTTCTCCGGCTCTTATTTCATAATCTCCAAAGTATGTTCAGATTTATATAATTACAGTAGAAAATAGAAGTCTAAAAATGAAATCCAGTTTCGCATTAGAGCAGCCGGAATTAATAGGATTCTTCTTGCAATTCCTTTGTTTTCTGCTGGAGAACCAAACTCCACCATGAGTGGGGAAACCACGATGCTCTGCCCTGTTTGGGCTGTGATTGATGCTGTGGTGTGGGAGCTCCAGGCTTCTCAACTTCTCTGAGTTGAGGAGATAATCAGCGGGAAGCCCATCAAACATGCTCACAAGTGGGCAGGTACTTTACTGAGCTAAAGCTCAAAGTTGGGACACTTTGGACAATTTTTACATCTGTTTGTAACCTCTGAATGTGGCTTTCAGCCACTCATTCCCTTCTTTAATTTACATGAAAAAAGTCAGACTTACTTACTTTCCTTCACGCAGCAATAATTTGGAAGTTGAAGGTGTGAAAATATAACTCAAAACTAGGAAAAAGAGCCAAAGCTGCTTAAATGTGATCCTGCTGAGTGGGGTGGAGGGCCTAAGGTCTGACTGCAACCTGAAATCAGCTGGATCTCTGGAGGACAGCAAATTGCCCTGCTGGACATGGAGCTGGACAGTAATCCAGCTCTGGGATCCCAGCACAGGAAGGACATGGAACTGCTGGAGAGAGTCCAGAGAAGGCACCAAGATGACCAGAGGGATGGAGCAGCTCTGGTGGGAGGAAAGGCTGGGAGAGATGGGATTGTTCAGCCTGGAGAAGAGAAGATTTGGGGTGACTTGATTGTGTCCTTCCAGTGCCTGAAGGGAGCCTGAAAGAAAGATGGAGGGAGACTGTTTACAAGGGATGGAGTAACAGGACACAGGGAATGGTTTCAAACCGAAAGAGAGGAGATTTAGATCAGATATTAGGAAGAAATTATTCCCTGTGAGGGTGGTGAGATCTTGGCACAGGTTGCCCAGAGAAGCTGTGGCTGCCCCTGGATCCCTGGAGGTGTCCAAGGCCAGTTTGGACAGGGCTTGGAGCAACCCGGGCTAGTAGAATGTGTCCCTGCCCGTGGCAGGGGGTTGGAAGGAAATGAGCTTTAAGAATCCTTCCCACTCAAACCATTCTAGTTCTCGTGAATTTACAAAGGTTTCACTAATTTCCTCTAAACTAAGAGTGGCCAAACCTATTTCTAGTGTCAATATTCTTCCTAATCCAAATTCAAACTTACTTTATAGTCTGCTTATTACAGACCATGCCCCAAATTAAAATATACCTTGTATCTCTCCTACTAAAGACCTTTACAAAAGCTGACAATGCCGCGTATAAGTTGCCTTTATCTTTTCTATCCATTGTTACCAATATCGATACGTTCTATAACCTGCTACAAGATTTAGGGATGTCCCAAGAAATTAAAAATATACCAAATAAATGACAAAGTGAAATATAAAATGCAAGAGATTAATTTGCAGAACCAAAAAGTCTGTGGCTGAGTCACATGGTGCAGCTTGTTGCTCCTCTGAGTAGCTCAAATACAGTGGAGCTCACACCTGAAAGGGAAAGGAAGCACAGTTCAAACAGGGAATTCCTGAAAGAAGCAATGCAAAAGCAAAGTCAGATTTCACAAATATTCACAAATACACTCCAGCTCAACTCTAAAATCATTTATTGTGTCTCTACTCTTTCACCAGCTCTGAGGTGTTTGGGTGAAATGTAAATTTGATATGAATTTATAAAATCAACAGCTGGTGCCAGTAGAGACATGGAAACAAAATGATCAACTTCAGAAGCATAACTCCTCAATTAAAAAAAAAAAAAATCAAACCAAACCAAACAAAGTGTTTCTCTACCAACTTAAATTTTCAGGCTTCCAAGCGAACACAATGAAAATTTCAGTGAAATTATCAACCATGGGATTGCATCTTTCTCCTTTTCTGTAGGACCTGCATAAACCCTGTGTGTTGCCACCCTTTTCCTCTTATCCCATCAACCCTTTTCCCAGCTTTACCTTCACAATATTGCACCTCTCCCTCTGTATTATCCAGCATTTCCCCAGCAATGCCACCCCTCAGGTGACATCCATCCCCTCCCTGCCACTCCTACCCTCATCCAGATTTATGTCATGTGTGAGCCAAGGCCCTCTTCTCCCATTTTTCCACGTCTGTGACTTCCATGGTGGCGATAAGGAATCAGCTTTCTGATGAATGGTTTCACAGATGAACATGTATTCATTCATTGAGACATATTTTAAAATAATTGAGACCTGCTAAGCTGTATATAAGGCTTGATATATGATATGATATATAATATGGATGTAATATGATTGACTGGATGATCTACAAATGTAAGTCACCACTCACTCCTTGTCATGTTCAATATTCTGTCTAGTTTTTCACCAGATTACTTGAATCAGGGTCGCTGTCTTCATGTGTGTTTTTATAGGTTTTACCACAATAGGATTCTGACATAAATTACAGTCTAGGGATTGCCAGCAATTTTGTTAATAATAACTGCAATAATAAAGCAAAACAATTCCTTGTGGTGGGCTAATCTTTTAAGCTGTAAAAGCCTGGATTGATTACTGAGTACTAACTCATCTCTGCTGCATGAGGAGGACTGTTTTCTGGACACCAAAAATAAAAACTGAAATTTAAAACTCCTCAGTACGTGCATCCAGCTCCAGGCAGAGTGGAATTCCATAGAATCATGGAATGGTCTGGGTTGGAAGGGGCCTTAAAGGTCTTCTAGTCCAACCCCTCTACAACCAACAAGGACATCTTGCTCCAAGCCCTGTCCAACCTGGCCTTGGACACTTCCAGGGATCCAGGGGCAGCCACAGCTTCTCTGGGCAACCTGGGCCAGGGCCTCACCACCCTTCTAGCCAGGAATTCCTTCCCAATATCCCATCTATCCCTGCCCTCTGGCAGTGGGAAGCCATTCCCTGTCTCCTGTCACTCCATCCCTTGTCCCCAGTCCCTCTCCAGCCCTCTTGGAGCCCCTTGAGGCTCTGGAAGGGGCTCTCAGGTCTCCTTGGAGCCTCCTCTTCCCCAGGTTGAACACCCCCAATTCTCTCAGCCTTTCCTTATAGGAGAGGTGCTTCATCCCTCTGATCATCTTTGTGGCCCTCCTTGGAACCCACTCCAGCAGATCCAGGTTTTCCTGTGCTGAGGACCCCAGAGCTGGACACACCAGTACATCAAGGTACAGTATTAGAATTCAAAAGGCTTTGTCAAATTGGAGAAAAGACCTAAAAATCCCATTTAATGAAAGAAGGAAAAATACAAATTTCACAGTCAGTGAGGAATAATCAGGGTGTTAAATGCAGAATGGGGGATGTTCTGCTGAGACAGAAGCTCTGTGTGACAGTTGCACAAATCAAAATATAAAATGTTATCACACTGTAGAAAAAACCTGCATAACACCTCAGGGTCCTGCATATGGATACAACTGGAAATAATGTAGAATAACTTGCTGCATTTTTGGCCTTGATAATACTTGGCCCAGCTGTAGTTCTATACAGAATCATTACATACCCAGGACAAGAAAGATGTGGATAAATTAGAGAAAGACTAAAAGAGAAGAGTGAGAATGATAAGCATGTAGAAAAACAGAATTTCAAGGGAAAAAATAAAAGTTAAGGAATTAGGATTGTTTGCTCTATAGAAGAAGAGACTGGGGCAAAACTGCATATAAAAATATGGGCAGGAAAAAACAGGAGTCCATTGAAATTGCAGCAAAGGGCAGTTGGGTGAAATATTGTGAAAAATCTCATGGACATGTTACTAAAAAAAATAATAAATAATAAATAAAATTAAAAATAAATTAAAATTTTTTAAATGAAAAAATAAAATAATAAATAATAAATAAAATTAAAAATAAATTAAAATTTTAAAAATGAAAAAAATAAAATAAAATAAAACTATAAAATAAAATAAAATAAAAATAACAGTGCTAGTGGAGATACCTGAACTGGACCTTCACATAAGGCTTATTTAATAAATCATATGCCAATGCCCAATGGACTATCCAGTAATAGTGGGAATAAAAAAAGTAAACCAACAACAACAACAAAAAAAAACCTCTGGTTATTTTTTTTTCCTGAAAAAAAGAAAAAAATAAGTATTTGGCTGTACAGAAAAAAAACACCTTGGAAATGAGAAACATTTTGTGCAATTTCATTAGGATTTACATCCTTTAACGTGAGATCGACTTAAAATCTATTTTTAACCAAAGAATCTTATTAAAGTAAGAAGATTGCCTGGTTTACCACTTGTAGTTGTTTCAAGCAGTAGTGGCTGATGATGCTCTTTATAAACAATAGGGAATGAATTTAAACAAACTAAAAGATGTTTAATGTAAAAAAAATCCCTGCAGCTTGAGAAAAAAATATGTTGTTGTGGATTGCATATTTTACATGCAATTTATGCTGCAGTTTCTCTTCATTAACCACATCTCGCAGATTTTTCAAGGCACCAGCATGAATATTATTAACATGTGTTAAAAATGTGTTTAAAATAATGTATAAAGCTGTGTATTTAAAGAAAAAAGTTTAGGTAAAATGAACAAGGGTGTCTGTGTATTATAAATTGGTTTGTGGGTGTGTTGATATATAAACCAGGCTCCGGGTGCACAAATGCACATATATATTGCTTTAGAGCTGGTGTTTTAATTAAACTGAACTAGACCTTAACAAGAGCATCCAATTCATAATTTTTTCTGTTCTATGGATTCTTATTAGTTAAAGCAGATATAATCCATTCTGGAACATGACATGTAGAAATTGCCAGAATCTCCTTTTATTTCTTTCCTTACCATTGGTTTCCTTCTACCGCGAGAATCTCAGGAAATACCTTGTAGCCTTCAGTTTTTTTCTGCAGTATAACCTGTTTGCATCCATCTTCCAAACTTTGGCAGCATGGTATTGATAGAAATGATTGACAATGGCAGACACAGGTCTTGAAAATTACAAAAATCAAAAGCTTATAGTCTGAGCAATTAAAAATACCCAATATCGTCACATCATTCTGGTCCCGGTAACACCTCATAGAGTCCTACAATGGTTTGGGCTAGAAGGGATCTTAAAGATCATCTAAAAGATCTAAAGATTATCTAATCCCACCCCCTGTCATGGCCAGGGACACCTTCCACTAACCCAGGTTGCTCCAAGCCCCGTCCAACCTGGCCTTGGACACTTCCAGGGATCCAGGGGCAGCCACAGCTTCTCTGGGCAACCTGGGCCAGGGCCTCCCCACCCTCCCAGACAGGAATTCCTTCCCAATATCCCATCTAACCCTACCCTCTGGCAGTGGGAAGCCATTCCCTGTCTCCTGTCCCTCCATCCCTTCTCCCAAATCCCTCTCCAGCTCTCTTGGTGTCCCTTTAAGTCCTGGAAGGAGCTCTGAGGTCTCCCTGTGTCATCAGATTCAAACATAATATTCTGAAGTAGCATCTTTCTGTCATTTTAGGTGAAGGCCTTTGAAAGACACTCAGCATTGATTACATTTACTCCTGCTGATGTAAATGGGAGTACCATTAGGTGAACAGAGCATTTTCACAAATCCTATGCTCCTGCCTAATGTCAAGGACCAGCCTAAAGTCTTCATCAGTGCCATGCTGGGATTTGGTCTGTACTAAATTCTGCAGAGAAAGTAAGAAGTGTCTGTGGATATTTTCTAACTTTCAATTAAGAAAAATGTTTTTTGGTTTTTTTTCCTTTTTTCTTTTACCTTATCTTTTTTGTTTCAATTCTCATACACTTTGATATTGGAATCAAAGCTACGTGACCAATTCTAATACTTCTTTTAAAGCCACCTGTGTGCCTATCCTATGCCTAGTTAGCATAATATTAACCAAATGAAATTTTTAAGTCCTGATGATGAGAACTTTAATTTTGGGACAGACATTTGGTGATATATTACTTCACTTAAGATTTATATAAAAAATTAGAAAGTGGAAAAAGTAGAATTTAGTACAATCAAGGAACAGAAATAATTTTATAAACATATCACAAACAAATCATAATTTCCCTTGAAAAAGCAGGCTCAATGTAGTAAAAGAGACTTAAAAAGCATTAAGTTCTCATTTCAAATCCAGTAAAATTCTTCTCCCCCTCCAAATTTTCACCAAACATCACTTATTGGAACAGGTTTGCAGCTCACACTGATATTTATTACTTTTTTATACCTGATTTTGCAGAATCACAGTGGCATTTCATCAGCTTTCAGTGCTGCTCAGTTCACCTCTTGAATGTTCATATTCTCCTTCTCCTAAGCCACACAACCAGATTTTTTGGCCTTGGCATAATAAGGTTTGAATAATGGTCTGTTTGTTGTCCCAAGGAAGGAAAGAAGACTTCCTGTACTTCACAATTAAAAGCTGTGTGTCTCTGTTAATCAGTGGCCAGGGGCTGGAATTATTATTGTATTATTTGTCCAGTCTCCCCTCACTCTTTGTCTAATAAATGGATTCTTTTTCCTTACAGACCATAGAAGAATAGTCCACAAATATTGCTCCACACTTAAAAAACTATTTAAAAAGTGCATCAAAACAAACTCAAGGAGGTTTCTTACAAAGTGAGGGAGAGCACTGCCATAAATGTAGGTTGTTTTCTGTAAGAGAAAGGGGAAGAAGGATCACTTGGTTTTTAACCCTCTATTTTACAAGTTATTTCTTAAATTTTCAGCTAGCTGGATTTCCCCTTGCAATGAGAGGGTTTGCAAGTTCAGAAACACTTCACTAGGGGAATGAGGACCCCAGTGTTGATGCCAAACACCAGAGAGGGATGGTTTCCTTTATACAGTGGCTTTCAGAGAGGTTTGGCATGTAAAAGTTTCTCTTCTTAAAAATATTGGCAGCTCCACCTTGATAAAAATTTAATCAGTAAATAAGTAATTTTGAAGCAGTGCTGATCATGTACAAGTGGAAACACAGAATCATCCAGGTTGGAAAAGCTCTCCCAGCCCATGGAGTCCCCCCTGTGCCCGATGCCCATCTTATCCCCCAGCCCAGAGCACTGAGTGCCACATCCAGTCCTTCCTTGGACACCTTCAGGGATGGGGACTCCACCACCTCTCTGGGTAGCCCCTTCCAATGCTTGACACCCCTTTCTGTAAAGAAATTTTTCCTAAAAGAACAGTTTAAACCAGCTAGAACTCTTTAAACTAGCGGAGTAACACTGGAAGTTCTCCTGGTAAAGCAGTCTGGGACATCAAACTGGGGCATCCCAAGGCTTTGGGAGAATGTACATCTGGATTCAATTCTGAATCCAAAATTTGGATGTGTTTGTCATGCAACCAGTTGTGATGCATCCATAACCAGATCCAAAGAGCTGAAAAAAAATGATACATTAATGGTAGTTCTAAATGAGTGTCAAGGCAGTGTAGCCCAGAGCCAGGCTGTAAAACATCCTGCACTTCTCCTGGCCCAGTGAACCCTGCTTCATCCCAAGTAAATCACAGCCCAGAGGGAAAGTCCAGTCCAAATTAAAACACCCAGATTAATGATAGCCCCCAGACTTGTTCGGTTATCTGATTTTCTATGGGAGCTCAGGCTCAGCTTTATCACATCCTACTTCAGATGTTTCAAAGTGTTTCCTGTCTTAGACACCTACAAGGCTTGGCCTCCCCTGCCATGGCCTGGAAAAGGGAGACTCTCTTAATGGGTACCTGGCCATGGGTGGATCCAGGGGTCGCATCTCAATGAGTTTATAATTAAGCAAGGCGGGGTCTGTTGCCTGGCTCTCAAGGCAAGGGACATGGTAGGGATTATGTCTCCATGGCTGCCTGACCTCCCTGAGAGAAGTGTGGGGGCCATGCTGGGGAAGGAATCTTGTTTCCAGTCAAAACTGTTCCAGAGATGGTGCCAACAGTGCAAGGGATGAGTAAGTGTTGCCCAGAAAAGTTGTGGCTGCCCCTGGATCCTTGGAAGTGTCCAAGGCAAGGTTGGATGGGGCTTGGAGCAACCTGGGCTAGTGGAAGGTGTCTCTGGCCATGGCAGGGGGGAGAATGAGGTGAGCTTTAAGGTCACTTCCAATTTAAACTGTTCTGGGATTCTCTGGCCAAGCATGATCTGGAAAGTTGGCATGAGTAGTGTGAACATGAGCTGGGATCTCTCTCTGCATAAGGGTGACAGAGAGAAACCTGGGAAACCAGGACATTTGTGTGACTTAGGTGATCGTGTAGATAGATGCATAAACCAAAAGCCCTCTGAATTAAGAAAAAAACCCCAACCCTAATTAATGATAATACTGTTAGGAGAGATTAATACTTTATGATTTCCTCAAAGTTGTGTTGACTTTGGTAACCCTGGCCTAGTGTAAATCCCTCAGCAATGCTCTCCCGTTCTGGATCACCCAGGCAGCAAGATTCAGTCTTGGCTTGAGTAATAAGACAGGATTGCTTAAATCAGGATTCTTCTGAGGCTTTTGAGCTTCAGCATTAGGCCTGAAGTTAAGACCAGTAATGAAAGGATATTTATTATCAAACAAGAGCCTTTGATAGTACCAGCTTGGACATGTGACATGATTTGGAGGTGTGACAAGTCTTTTTACTCCAAGATCTCAGTGCTGCATTGGAGTTGCCTCCTGCCTGCTGCACTACAGTCCTGCTTGCTCCCCGGTCATTCATGGAAAAGACATGATCCAAGTCTCTTTTTGTAATATCCAAATATATTTCACTGCCAAAACAGAGATGTAACCGAAGATCCCACCAAGCCACAAGCACAGCAGATCCATTTGCCTTCTCCCACCTTTTTCCAGAGCCTTGGATATCTTTGCTTCTGGGCTGCAGTTTTATTTATGTAGCTGTGCATTTCTGCCCTTTGGATCAGGGACATGTTCACCCAACAACAAGATAACAGCTAAAAATAGTGACTTTTCTCTCTTCTCCCAAGAAGCAATCAAGTCTCTGAGGTCTACATGCAACCCCAAATTCTTGAGCTAAAAGTTAAGGCAGCCTTTCCCTGGGGAAAAGCTAACTTCATTTATAAAACACATTTGATTTCCCTTCTCTAATCTCTCCGTAGCCTTTTTCCACTGCTGCGTGCTTTAATTTCGCTTTCAGTCAGAAGTTTAAAAAACTTTAGGCTTCTAATAACTGGAAAAAAATGGTTATTTAAAGATAACTGCAACTTGCTTAACATGCCAGACTATCATATGCTCGCTGCTTTGAAGCTGCAAATTAATGACGAGCAGGAACAGTGACTATCTTTCAGAGAAAACTGACCTCTTTCTAATGGCTCATCGCTAATGTCATCTGTCTGCTGCATCTCATTATGGGAATTTCACGGAGTAGGGAAGTATCTTAAGGCTGTGCACAAATAAAAAGGACCTTCTAGTATTGAGCACTTTGAAAATTTTTGATCTCTCCAAATACCTTCCTTAGATACTGGTTTCCCCTTTTGTGCATGGCACGCTGCTTATGTCATCTATTCTCTGTGACTAATTATGTTAATTTTGTGCCATAAAAGTAACTGAAGGCTGTTAAGGAATAAAAGCTTTTGAGTGGCCTTATTTCATAAACACCCCTTTTGAACAAGGCGCATTTAGTCATATTTGCAGTAACAGAAAGAGTCTTGTGCTAAAAATACAACAAAGGCTCTTGAATATGGCCATTTATTCCTACTTTATTAGGTAATTTATGAAAAGTATGAAGGGAAGCCTTTTTGTTACTATAATTTGCATAAAGCTGGTGCCCCATTAATGAGATAACTTCCTGCCTTTTGTGTACCACCAGCTGGAAATAGAAATATAGGAACTTTTCTGTCTCCCAATTACTTAACCTGCTGAGTTCAGAGTTGGAGAGTAAACAGGATTCATATCAGTCAAAGAAGTTGATTTCTGCTGCTCTATCTAAAATGTTTTTATTTAATTAAGGAACCAGTGAAAGCAAAACGTTAAAAATACACTAAATGTCCATCAGCTCCACGAGACCAAGGCTTTAGACCTGGGCTTCAATTTTGCACCTGTCTTTTTGTGCTGTCAGTCACAATTAGTTGTGCTGCAGAGTAGATCCATCAGGAATCAAGGCAGGCATCTAAACCCGACAGTTTGAAGGGATCTGGGTGCCAAGGGATGCAGATGGGTTCTAGACATCATTTAAAAATCACCTAGAAACTCGATTGGCATCCAGGTCCCAGACACTCTTGGAAATCTCATTAATTGCCTCTCTGGTGCTGATACTTTAAATACTCTGATTTGGATAGAAAAATCCCTGCTCCAGAGGAATAACTGAACTTTTCCCAACAAGGGGAAAATTCTTCATCTCTGTCACTGATTTGTGTGCCAAAAGTTCAATCTGCCTTCAGGTTGGCTGACATGGTGCAGTGATACCTGTCACTCTGCTTAGAAACAGAGTTAGGATTTCTTTTTCATCAGTTTTCCACATTAATAGCATCATTTTGACTGCTGAATTAAAGGTATTGTTTATCAGTTGTAGCATCTCAGAATCATTTATACATAAGGTGATAACTTAGCCATAAAATCAATGGACCAGCTCCCCTATTTAGATATTTTTACACTGTTTACTATCTCTGAATTTATTTCAAGTGACTTAATTATAATTAGGATAATGACAACTCCTTAACAGTGTGCTAAAACATATGCAGGATCCAAAAAAAAAAAAAAAGAAAAGCTATGTATCTAAAAAGAATTTAAATTTCAGCTGCTCAGCCTTTGTGTGGTTTGAGGTCAGTTTGTTGGAACAGTAAAGATTGTTCAGTGGGCAAATTACTTGACTGGCCATACCTACCTAATCTGTTAAATCTGAATAAAAGGCATCTTTTGAGGTGGAATAGGGCATGTGACAGGTTTGTACTCACCACACCCCACTCTTTAGCCAGGAATTCCCTGCTTTCCCACTGCAGAAGAGCTGGGCTCACCACCATTCAGCCCTAAAGGAGGAAAAGGCAATCAAAATCACCTTCCAGACAATCAAATGGATTCAATCCCAGTTTAAAGAGTCCTTTGACACTACCCTGTATATCTAAACAAATCACTGCAAACCCACATATCACCTCATCTAGTTAAAATATGGGGGTATTTAGAAGAGCTGCAATAGAGTTTCCACTGTCATTTTAACTATGAGCTAAACCACGAGTGCTGACAGGCTAAAGGTTGTCACAGTCAAGGGCCTAATTACTCTACAAATTGCAGTGAGATGATAAGATCCATCTCCTCTTGCTTGGGGCACTGGACTGGGGAGGAAAGTCTCCAGACTGGGCAGGAAAGTGTCCACAGGCTCCTTTCAGGGGCAGCAGAGACACACAGACGCCTCCAGACTGGGATTCACAACTCACAGGGACTGACTCCTTCCCAATTCGGATGTCTTGAGTATATTCTTAGGAGGTATGAGTTGAGACTCAAATTATTTTTAGATTGCACTTGAAATAACAGTTTAAATTTTGTCTGAAGGTGTGTCTGAAACTGAATCTTCAAACTCTACACAATCACCTAATTTCCTGCCTCCTTGCTGTGTTTCTGCCTGTGGCAATCAATGAAGGCCCCAGTTTTCCCCACACACCTTTCTGCCAGATTTTTTTCTGACCCATCAGTGACACTGAACATTTTGTGCAGCCAGTGTGGTGTTAGAACGAGCTACTTTGCTAAAAGACTGCGGGAAAAAAATGCATTTAAGGGCCTCATAAAGGGCCTCATCTTCAGGAGAAGATGATGAGTTATAATTTCCAGTATAGGACATTTGCTGGACTAATGTGGTTCTGGTGCAGCAGCTCAGGTGGGGTGGAAGCATTTAGAGAAGTCAATAGTGATTGCTCTCTCTTCTTGGTGTGAAATATTCACAAGCAGAGAGCCCCTGCTCTGCTGCAGAGAAATCCATGGCACCAACTTCATGTCTCAGGAGAAGGGATTCCATACAGATTGCTGGCCAGAAGAGCAGCAGTTCTCTAACATCCAAGAAAAGGGACTGTTTCCAAAACACCTACAGCAACAATTCATAACATAGGGTTACAGATTCATGTAGGAAACACAGGAATGGCAGTGGGAGCATCTCACAGACAATGCCAGAGCATAAAGTTTTGTTCTAGGCTGACATGAAGCAAATGTCACATAAAAAAACATTATTGCATAAATAAATCTCACTCATTCACAAGTTTGTTGGTTTTTTTGCCCTACTCAAACACTGAGATTTTTCTATTTTCTTGGGTTTTTTCCTAGATAAAAAGTGGTTTTGACCCTTCCCTTTTTATTTTTTTTGCTGCCCACAGGTTGCAAACCTCAACCGAACACTTACCTGGGAGGTATTTTAGCATGTGGCTGGCCCAGACTGATGCCAACCTTCCAGAGCTTTCCTCAGATGCCTCCCAGTGAAAGGTCAGCTGCTGTGGAGAAGAGGGAGAAGAGAAAGAAATGCATCTTTATCTGCAGGAATGTTGTAATAGGCCTAGAAAGGCTTTGGGTGTTCAGTGTTTAAGATTCAGTGGGATATGAGCCTATATAAAACTTGAAATAAAAGCAGCCCATTGACCTATTTAATGGGACTAGTCATTAAAGCCACGAGAGCCGAGGAAAAAACAGCCTAATGAGGAATTAAAAAAATAAAAGAGGAATAAAAAAGCAAAAAAACCTCTCCATGCCCACTAGCCCAGGGCTAGCTTAATTAAAGTCAAAGTAGAAAGCTGCAAGAATAAAGAAATAAACAGTTAAATGTATTATTTTTATCCCCATATTCCTGGCTGCTCTTTCTCTGCAATTGGTTTCATTCTCAAATAAAGCAACAGCCTCTTGTTTGCTTTCTGTTCTCTGCCTAATTTGGATAAATATAAACTTTTCTAGGCAAACCCAGAAAATCAGTTTTTCCCCTGAATATGGAGCTCTGAAGAAGATTGTTTTGCAATTCTGATAATTACGAATATTTATAGGACATGGTTTAAGAGGACAGCACTAATTGGACAACGCTTTCTGGACTCCCTTCTCAAAGCACTTAAATGATAAATCAGTCACCGAAGACAAATAATATAAATAAAGTGATAGATTGGCTTTCCCTCTCTCTTCCTTTCTTTTGATTTACCAAACAGCTCCAACAAGCTGTCCGTGGCCAGAAAGCCGGTCTTAGAACGTTGTTATGTCTGTTTACAATGATTTGGGAGACCAGAGGGGAAAAGTTTGAATCAACAAATATTTTCTACATTCCTACTGGTAACTCCAAGGCCGGTTTTCAGAGTGGGTTCCCCCCCCTTGTCTGTTACAAGTTATGATGTGTGGATGAAGGCTTTTTCCCATGCAGTAATGACTGTATACTGAGATTTCAAGGGGCTGTTCATGACAATCCCATTTTCTGTGTAATTTCATGGTTGTCTTCTTGAATGAAGATATTGGCTGCTCTGAAGCAGGAGGTCAGATGCTCCTGCTCCCTTTCAGTATTGTTCCGGAGTATGTTTCCTTTCAGCTGATGAAAAGTAATTCATCATTTACACCCTTGAATTCTGCCAGCGTTTTTTTTGAACAACTTTTCTTTCCCCGTGGTACCTTGGGCCCATGAAAGAGATAAATAGGTTCAATACAACGCCAGGCCCCGGATCCTGGGAGCAGGTTCGGCCTTGGAGGCCCCGAGCTGCCCCTTTCTCATGATGGAGTTTGTCACCTTTCTACCTCTGGAAGTCAAATCCTGTCAACTCAGCCATCTCTCAGCCTCTCTGAAGTGGCTTTGGCACCCACTGGGGCATGTGAGCTTAAAATTGATTTTTTTTTAAGATCTGTCAAGTTCCCTTAAGGGAGTGGGCAGCCAGCCGGCCCTCACAAAGCGCTCAATGTCTAACAGGCACCCGAGGAACTTCCTCCAGGAGGGCACCGGGGCCCCAAATCCCCACCCCTCGTTGCTGAGGAGCTGCCCCTCCACCAGAGAAACCTTCCTGCCAGGCTGCCTCCTCCTTCCCGAAGCCTTGGAGCCTCGTTTTTCCTTTTATTTAAGCAGCAGAGATGTTAAAATAGTGGCAGCCAGCCTGGCAGGGATACCCCTTGCAAGTGTTGCTCCCTGGCATTGGGCACGGCACGAGGTGGCCACTGCTCACCTCTGCTTGGGACAAGGGGTTATTGTCCCCCACGTGTCTCAGGAATGCTCTGCCCTGGGCAAATAATTCATTATTGTGCCCCATAAGCTCTCAAAATATCGGTGGTCAGGGAAAATAAGGGTGCAAAGAGAATAAAGATTTTCAGCTGAATAAAAAGCTATAAATATATAAATATATTCATATATAATAAAAATATATAATATATATTTATTGTATAATATTATATTATTTATATTATTTTACACAATATATTATTATATTATGTATATTATTATGTAAAATATTTGTTCACTATATATTAGTGGCTATATATTCATATATTCATATATATTAATATATATGGATATATATAGTATTATATATATTATATATTATAGTGTATACTATAATATATATATTATAATACATATACTGTAATGTACATACTACATATACTTTATTATAATATATATATTAGTATACTATACATATACTATATATACAATACTACATATATTATACTTTATATACACTATATTATAGTATATATTAGTATACATATATTCAGTATTTATTAGTATATATGTATTATAACATATTATATATTTATACTATATATTTATTATATTATATACTTATACATAATATAATTTTACATTATTAATAAATATATATATAGTGTATATCCCACTCTTTAAATGACACACATGGTTGCAGCCAAAGACATCTAAAAGCAGAAAATCTGCTGATTGCAGAAAATTAAAACCTCTTTGCAGAGCGAGGTTTCACTTCCCAAAAATTCAGTTCCCAGAAGGCAGGCAGGGGGAGAGGCTGCACCTCCCAGCACCGGTGGCATCCCACAGCTCAGAGGCATCTCTGGGAGCATTTCAGAGCCCACCCAGGTAAATAAATGAATTTTAAAAGGAAGAGCTGTCAGCAGATTAGATCACCGGAAAGCAAAGCAAAGCAAAGCAAAACTGGTTACAACAAAATCTCTGAAAGGGGCTCAGCCTAAGCAATAATTTTAGTGCAGGAATTCTGAATTATTCCAAGGCCTGCATTTAAACATTCTCTGACACAAAGAGGTTTAGTAATATAACCCCTTATTTATTTTTTCAGCAACTCTCTCTTGTTTGGAGTAGTATTTTAGAGGAGAAAATAATCTTTCAACTTGAGCAATTTTGTTGAGTTTTTGCTCAGCACACAGGCCTAAAATACGGCATATAACCTGGGTTTGCTCTTTTTTTTTTTTTTAATACCCTATGGTTTCCTCCTCCCTTTGCTGCAAGTGTTTGTTTTTTAACAAAAATATCCTGTGCATCCACATTATCAACACACGTTTGAGTGGGCAGAAGGGTTGGTTAATCTGCCGCTGTCGTGACAGCAGGGGGAGCAAAAATCACTGCAACAGGGGGGAATTCACAATGATCCTGGCTATTAAAAAGCCACTTCTGAAAAGAAATAGGCATTTTCTGGAGAAAACAATTGTTGTACGCATTTATTATCACCAGCCAAGCTAAAGCTGCAGGTTAAACCCAAACTTTGCTGTGCAAACTGTTAACAGAACAAACAGCAGCCAGAAGTAATTACAAGTTTGAAACACAAGTCAGGAGAGAGCTGAGATATTTTTAACTCATGAGGGGAGTGTTAGAACTCCCTCTGGAAGGAAAAAGGGACAAGGAAGATTTGCAGCTTGTCTTTTTTAATTTTTATTTGTATTTTTTAACTCTATGCTGTGCTGCAAGGGAGGGAACTGCAGCCCACCCCAAGAGGAGGCACCGCTGGAGCCAGACCTCTGGTGCTTCAACTTCAAAGATTTAGGGTTAGAAAGGGCACAACTCTAACCCAAATATAGTCCCAGGAGCAAATAACACAAGACTCAATCAGTCACAAGACTATGTTAATATTTATATCCTGAGATATATCCACGTCCTGCACCCTTCCTTCTGCTCACCCTTTCCTTTTGGAGTTCTGGGCTACCCTGACGGTTTCGGTGGGTATGGCCATAAACTGTTCTATCCATAGGTCTGGTTTCTTTAAAGTTTGATTAACTCTTGGAATAAGATTGATTTTTTTGCCTCCCTTCTTGCCAGTCAGGTCACATGAAATGGTTATGAGCGGGACAGTGTGATCTGTGCCGTGCTTCTCAGCTCTCCAGGTGAGGACGCACGTGTTGCAACAGAGAGCAAAATACTCCTCCTTTGTTCCACAGCTCCATCTGCCCATCCATCCACCCACCCATCTGCCTCTGTGCATTCACACACAAAAATAAAACCTGCTGAACAAATCCACCACGTCTTTGTCCACACTAGAATGGTTTGTGGAGCTATGTTTCCCCTTCAGTTTGCTGGAGTATATTCACAGGATATTATTTTCATCTCAAATAATTTTTTTTTTCTGCAGTTAGCATTCAGTATTTTCTCTTTGCTTTTCTAATTAGCCTTTCAGTTTGCTTCTGCTTATTTTATGGAGCCTTTCAACTGCTCCACCTTCCCAGATTTTGTATTTTTTTTTCAACACCTTGTGCTTACTGCTTATCTTACTCTTTGCTATACAACTCTACTTAGCCACATCAGGCATTGTTACCTTTATCCTTCTTTAGACTTAAACCAGGATGAATTTCAAATGTCCTCCAACTGTTTCTGAAATATATTCCAATTTTCTTCAGTAGATTTACCATACATTATAATAAAATCCTGATAAAAATTCCTTAGCACACTCTGCACTCCCTGAAAGTCAGCCTGCAGTAAGGCTGGCGTTGCTTTTTGCTCCTCAACAAATATTTTAAATCAAATGATGTCGAGATCACTGGATCTTTCATACCCCTCCAGTTCAACACCCTTTATTACCCTTGGCTCAAATCCTTGAATTAATTCAAATAGCTTCTGAAAGACAATTCAATAAAGCACACAGGGAACTAGAGGCAATCCCACGTTAGCTTTAGAGACACGAGTATTCCCTGCCTAGTTCTACCTTCTCACAGTCAATAAAGGAGTAATTAAAAGCCATCTTATCAAAGCTCTGGCACTCCTGAAGGCCTCTCTCATCTGCAAGCAAAGACCTAAAAGTTCAAAGAAGCCTTCAGAAAACCACCTGACTACCTTTATTGTGCTTAACGTTTATCAGCATTGACATTGCTATGTCAGCCAAAATACTTGCAACATTTCCCTCTGAAGACACTCATCTCCCAGGAATACTGATAGGGCTCCTCCTCCGTCTCCCCTTTCTCTACACAGACCCCAGACTAGTATCTCAAAACCTCAATTTCTTGCCTCAACCATATCTGTGCTATTCCAATAATATCATGCTTATCCTCGATACTCATAGTTATCAT